ATCTCCATCCCCATCCATCCATCTCCATCTCCATCTCCATCCCCATCCATCTATCTCCATCCCCATCTCTCTCCATACCCAACGATCCGTCTCCATACCCATCTGTCCATCTCCATACCCATCCATCCGTCTCCATACCCATCCATCCATCTCCATACCTATCTATCCAATCTCCATACGCACCCATCCGTCTCCATATCCATCTCCATACCCATCCATCCAGCTCCATACCCGTCCATCCAGCTCCATCCCCATCCATCTCCATACACACCCATCCATCTCCATACACATCCGTCCATCTCCAAATCCATCTCCATACGCGTCTCCATACCCAACCATCCGTCTCCATGCCCATCTATCACCATACACACTCTATCTATCTATCTATCTACACAACCTGTCTGTCAGTCTACCTAGGTCCATACACACCCACCCATCTATCTATGTATCTCCATATCCATCCATTTGTCTAATCTCCATACCTCCCCCATCTATCTATGTATCTATCTGATCTCCAGACCCAGTCGCCTATCACATGCTAGAACACACTTTCCCCTTTGCACCACGCTAGGGCGTATTGTTAAAATAAAGCCAACCTCTTTAGCAATAAAATAAATTAACTCAAGGACATTTTAAAAACGAGTTTGTGCGGAACAGGATTGAGTCCAAGGGAAAAACCTTAACCCCCGCTTTGCCAGCGTGTACATTTTCTCCAGGTCAGTTTCTCCAAAGACCTCCCCCTCCTCCCCCCCCGTTTCCCTTGTGTCCCATGACAGACAGAGTGCCGCCCCCGCCCCAATTCTGTGTTCTCAGGCTGGGCTCCAGCCGAGCTCTGGTTTGCTAGGGGGCAAAGATCTGTACAGCGCTGTGCACATCCCATTGCAGGGGGCATAACCCCAACTCCCCCCCAGACCCTGGCCAGGAGCCTCGCACTGCGAGAAAGTGACGGGCCTGGCCAAAGCAGGGTCGAAGGGGTCGCCTCTGCTTCTGGGGGGGGGAGCCCCAGAGCATGTGTGAGATGAGGGCAGAGCAGGACAAGCCCGTGATTTTAACCCCTCTCCGGCTCCAAATCAAAGGCTGTGTCTCGCTGGTCCCAAATGCAGCGAGTTGCCCAGCCTACGGGACGCCTCTGGAATTCGGATTTGCGGCCTTACGGTGCCCGGGGCTTGGCCCAGCAGCAGTGGAAACACGTCTCAAAGCCCGGGGGCGAGGGGCTAGACCCTTCCAAGGTTGCCCAAGTGGATTCTCTTTGAAGTGAGGCTGCTCCCAGCCCAGCCCGTGCACACGCCGCCAACCCGAATCGGAGGGAGCCCAGTGCGAAGGGGAGGGAAGAGCTCCGAATACAAAGTGTGTGTGTGTGTGTAGGGGGGGAAGGGAAGAGAAGGGAGGGAGCGGGGCGGGGGGAGAGTGGGAGGGAGCTGAAAGCTTTCTCAAGGCAAAAGTGTTCTCGGTTCCAAACTTTGTCTAAACTTTCACTTTCAGAGCTCCAAGGCGGGGTTACCACTCGGCAGCATGGACTAGAGGGGAACTGCCGCAGCATTACATGCAGTCACCTAGCCAGCTGTTCTCCATATGAAAAACAGCCCTGCAACAGTGTGTTTCCAAAACTAACCATGTATTCCCCATACTGCCTGACCCAGGTAACAAACCAACCAACCAACCAACAAAAAAACCAAAAAGAGAGAGAGAGAGAGAGAGAGAGAAAAGCAAGTTCTGGTTGTTTCTTTCCTTGCATTGTTTTGTTGTGCAAACTTTCCTGGTGGGTTCGCTCCTGGGTTCGTGTCGGTGTGGGCCACGCACCAGGCTGGGGCGGTGTGGCTGGGGGGAGGATTATTGCTGCCTGTCTGGGCTGGGTTTTTGTTTGAAACAAAAATTCTTCCCCTGTCTCTCTCTCTCTTTCTGCAGAGAAAGAGGTTTCGATGGCATGTTTCCAAGTTCTTTGTTATATTCACTGCACATGGGTTTAGTTCAGAAAATGGCGCTTCTCCCAAATTTATTTCAAGAATTAAAAAAGCAGAGAGAGGGAGAGGAAGGGAGGGAGGGGAAAGGGGGCAGCGGGGGTTGCTGGATTGATGCATGCAGCTATGCTGGGGTTTGGGGAGAGGGAGGTGGGGGGCGCTGGTGGGGACGGGGGGGGGACTGTACAAATGTAGAAGTGATTTTAATCTTTGTCTTTTCTGGTCCGATCTGAACCGCGCGGGGTTTATTGCACAGGGGCGGTTGCTAATGCTGGGAGTTGCCGGCGCTTGCAGTGGGGTTTTGCCTTGCTGGGGTTGGGGCTGTTGGGAGCTGAGATCTTGGTTTGTTTCAAAACCAACCCGCCACCCCAAAGCCCAATTTGTCTGGTTGTTTTGAAGTAACCCCCCCCCCCCCGAGCGGGAGGCAGTTGCTAAATGCCAGGGGGAGAATCGGTCCTAGGTTGTGTGGCTTCCTCTCCTGTTGCATTTGCTCCCTGCCCGGGGTCAGGTAGGGGAGTTTCCCCCTTTCTTCCCCCGTTGGGAAGGTCCGGCACTTTCCTGCCCCCGCCGCTCAGCGCTGGGCTTCACCTCTCGGGGGGCGCGGGGCTTGCTGCAGTTTCTCGAGGGAGAAGGGAACCGAGCGTGTGGACGGTGCAAAACGGGGCGGCGGAGAAGGGGGCGTTTGGAGCAGGGGAAGTTTGCAAAAGCGGAGAGTTGGGAGCTTTTTCCACGAGCGGGGGGAGGCGTTGAAATGTACAAGCTGCAAGGGGGGGGGGTTAATCAATGCAACATTTCTAACCATGCAAAAAGAAGAGAAGGGACTGCACCGTTTGCAGGAGATCTCTGTCTGTTTGCGATGTGTGGGGTTTATGGTCTTCTGGTGATGGGTTTGATCCCCCCCCCCCCCCGGGTACAATCGGAGGGGCAAAGAAATGTTGGATTTTTCTGTTAATTAAAACGGGGGATTTTTTTGGGGGGGGGTATGGGAATTATCTTAACTCTTCAGTTCAGAGTTGCCTGAAAAGGCGCTTTGCTGGATGAACTGAAGTTATGGTGACATTTCTGAGTTGGGGGGGGGGCACTGTCTTGAAATGCAGCTAAGAATTTATTTTGTAACCATCCAAAAGCTTTTTAATTTTTCCACTCAACTAATTAAAAAAACAAACCCAACAACCCCAACACTTTGCAATTGAGTGATGGACAAATTCGGCTGCTGCTGGGAAGGGAGTGAAGCCGATTTCAAACAGGTCTTTGGAGCCGAGCATGTAACTTCTTTGGAGGGAGGGTTCGGATCCACGGACAGGGAAAGCGAGTGTATTTTTAATGCCCCCAGAAGGAAGTTTCCTGTAGCGAAGATACTTTGGCTTTTGTCTGTTTCAACTTTCCAGTTCCCCCAACCTGTCCCATAGCTGTGAAGCGTTTTCCCAGGCACTGCTTTGAGCGCTCGATCCGACTCAGGTGGGGGAAAGGAGCGGCTCTAGGGCCATCTCCCAGTTCCTCTTGTCCCTAGCTAATCTCCAGCCCTCCTTCCCCGGGAGTCCCTAGGCACGGGGGAGGACAGGTCAGGTAACCCCTGCACAGACCTTTAGCAAGTTTGCTTTTAAGAGTGTGGTAGGCAAGCTGAGCTCCCATTCAACTCTGAACTAACTGCCCCTAAATTCATGCCTCTTTCTGAAGAATATTTTGGCATTATTTGATGCTCTTTTACAAATCATCTTAAGTTGAAATATTTTACATTTTTTTATAAGAAGGGTATAATTTATGCCCTTCAATATCTGTCTTTTTTTTTTTTTTAAAAAGACCAGTTTGTATAGTTCAATGTCCTTAAAGATTTTAAAATCCTTGTCAATGACACATTGGAATTTTTTTTTTTTACATAAAGCAACTCAGCAATAAGGAAAAGCACGGCTTTATGTAAAAAAAACAACAACCCAAAAATGACATTGGACTTTTATTGTTTTAAATTACTTTTGCTTAAGCAGGGAGCCAAGGAAATACATGGGCTGGTGAGCAGCACCGATACACAGAAATGGGAGTCGCTTCTTAGCAAGGCGTTTTTTTTCTATTCTATTTTCTTCCTTTCCTTTTTGCCATGCTGGCTGCAAATAATGTGAATCACATTTTTGAGGTTTGCCATGGATAGATCTTTCTAATTGGCTGTAATTTCTGTGGTTTGGGGCACTTTTGGAGAGTACAGTGTAGAAACTTTGCATATCTGTTTGCTCATTTGGTGGGAACAATGGTTTTTTTGGGGGGGGGAATACAGTTTTTTCAGTGGCTGGGCAAATCTGTTCCTTTCCTTAATCAACAGTAAGTAATAAATGGAGTGGACTATTATTATTATTGGTTATGGAAGAATATCATGAATTCCCTTTAGTTCTGCCTTCTTTAATTTTGGATTTGATAAGAGATCAGGAGAATTATTACAATGACAATGAGCATTTGACTCTGAAAGCAGTTGGAATTAGAGGGGGGTGTTCTTGAACTCACGCAAGTTACTCTGGAGAGTTACTGGCTGAACAATGTGGTCCCCGTATTTTTTGTTGTTTTGTTAAAAAGAGGTGGTGGCAGTGGATGGGCTCTATTAGGTCCTTTACATTTCAGTAGCAATTACTATCAATACCTAATAAATGACTGGCAGTTTTAGCTATGGAAAGAAGCAACTAGCGCCTAATGTTTATGGATGAAAACTTCTCTATAAATATAAGGTATCTGACATAGTATGTACAGCTCTATAATTATATAGACACACATATGTATGGCTGTGTGTACCTACGAGTGTGTGATATAGCTATAGGTATCGTGTGTGTGTGTAATACAAATACATACATAGACACTGAGCCTAATATTTATATAATAGACCGTGTGTGTGAACACACACATACTGTACTCAAAATAACTTGTATTTAAGAATTTATATCATATGATAATATAAATTGTGAATACACACACACTGTACCTAAAATACCTTATATTTAGTGATTTACAGATATTATATATAATATCTATAAAATATACCTACTGTACTGTACCTAAGATACAACGTGTATGTGTATATATATGTGTGTGTATATAAACTGTGTATATACACGCAGTCATTTATGTGATACCAGCCTAGTACCTGGCGATATGTGTGCATGTAATCTATAGGTGATACATATGAATTGGTGTGTAGGTGAATCGTGCGCCTCTGTGTATAATACATGCAATACATAAAATATCATACATGTCTGTCGGTGGCATGCATGTTTTTGCGACATAATGATGTACTGCATTACATACTGTAACTAACAGTGGATATCTTATAGTACACAGTATGTGTAGAGAGAAATGTATTTTGCACAAACAGCATCGTTGATAATGATGATTTTATTTATCAAGGCATCTCTTTTCTCACTCCGCCACTCCCCACGATGCTCTGGGGTGCCATGTGAACAATTAAAAGACAGTTGTTACCAATAAAACAATAATTACAACATCATTCCATGGATTAAAACCTAAAAAACAACAATCCTAAAAAAAAAAAAAAAATCAAAGGAAAGAGGCTTTAAAAAAACAAAGCCGAACTAAGTGGGGTCACTTAATTAAAAAAAAAAAAAAAAAAAAAGTGAAGCGACAACAGCCAACTTCGTTATAATTTCACGATGTTTCGTTAGTTGGGCAGGAATCCATTTTTTGGGGTAAGGTGGGAGAGTTAAGATGTAATGTTGAGTCATAATTCCTCCCCCATCCTCCAGGCCAAAACCTGCATTTTTACTAATGTCACAGGTTTGGAAAGAATATTTTTAGCATTAGGTCCTGTATTTTATATACATACATATGCGTGTGTATGGGCCTATATTTCTGTATAATTATCTAGCATTAGAGCCTATCTTTTTAATGGCTATATATCTACATCGCATTTGGTCCTGTCTTTCTACATAGGTAACGTTACAAACTTGGCTCGATATTTTAGCATTAGGTCCATATCTATCTAGCAGTGGAGCCTATAATTATTAATACTTATATGTATCTTAATAACTAGAGAAACAGCATGAGACTCTCTCTGTCTCTCTAGCCCCTCCACAGTATCTGTCTGTCTGTATTTTTTACAAACTTTTCCAGCAAGGCCTGCCGTTTCTGGGATAAGTTTTGGAATATTTTTTGGAGGGTTATTTTCTTGCATCTGTTTATTTTTTAGTTCCTCTCTGTTCGCCCCGTCCTTGGGACCCTGCCAACCTGGAGAGACCAGTTTCGTTTCTGCCTCCGGGAGGGAAAACCCAGCTTTCTTTTTCGGAGTCACCCCTTGTTTGTGCCCAGTGAATTAAATCCAGCCTGGCAGATTCCCCGCTGCCCTTCTGCCTCTGCCTGGCTCACTTCTGAACTGATTTCCCTGGTTTCAGTTCCTGGAGCAGGGTAGTTTTTTCCCCCTCTCCCTTTCCTGTTATTAGCGATCTAAAATCACCCCCTGTCCCAGTTCAACCAGTGCTGTCCCTCCCGCTCCCTTTCCTAGAAAAGAGTCCCAATATTGGACCTGCGGGCCTTGCTGAAGAGAAGTTCTGAACTAGGTTATTGTTGTAGGGCCCAATCCTGGGCACTCCCATATCGGCCCCTGGAACTGGATTTCCCGATCTAAGCCTGATCCTGCTGTCCCGATCAATAGAGGGCCTGATCCTCTATTGGTGTAAATCGTTGCATGATAA